ATCATGAAGTATCATAGGAAAAGGTATCATAAGTTCAAAAACAAGCAACCAAATCAATGTGAAGTGGCATGGATGTAGTGGAGACCCCAGACCCGGAAGATAATTGGACAGGATAATGTTAGACTTGTGTATGCTCATCTGTATAAAGATTGTTCGACACATGAAAGCCAAGAAAGAGAACCCTTCAGAAACAGTAATAGGAGTAATGGTTCCCTGAAGGTACAGGGGGTAGCAAAGGGGAAAAGGGAAAACGGATTGCACTGGTGACTGTATAATCCCACTCAAGGGGAGAGAACAACAGAATTGTATGTAAAGGATATGTTGGATAGTGTAGGATATGGCAATAAATAAATAAGGGTTCCTTGGGAGTACAGTGGGGAAGGGAAGGGATAAAGGGGAGCAGACATCAAGGAGTTCAAGAAGAAAGAAAATGTTTTGAAACTGATTGTGATACAATTGTACAATAATGAATAATTGTATAATAATGCTTGATGTGAATGAACTATGGAATGTTAAGATAGCTGTAAGAACTCCCAATAAAATGATTCAAAACATTTTTTGGAAGGGGGCACAGATCATGAAACACGGTTACAGCAGTATATTGACAGGGAACTGCCAAAAGGATGTTGAACAAGGGATATCATTTCTTTCAGATCTTGGAAGAAAGCACATAGATGTTTGTGTTTTATTGACTAAGCAAAGGAAACAGACTTTGTGGATCATAACTAACTATGGATAGTCTTTAGAAGAATGGAATTCCAGAACACTTCATGCAGAACCTGTTCATAGATCAAAAGGCAGCTGTGCAAACATAATAAAGGAATACTGCACGGTTCAAAACAGGAAAGATTTGCATCAGGGTTGTATCCTCTCACCATACTGCATGCTGAACAAATAGCTAAATAATCTGTACTGTATGAAAAATGCAGCATCAGGAATGGAGGAAGGCTATTAACAACCTACCATATGCAGATGATGTATCCTTGCACGCTGAAAGTGAGGACTTGAAGCCATTGCTGATAAAGATCAGGGACTGCAGTCTTTAGCATAGATTACAAGTCAATGCAAAGAAAACCAAAATCCTCACAACTGAACCAAAAGATAAATGGAGAAAAGATCGACATTGTCAAGGAATTTGTCTTGCTTGGATCCACAGTCAATGCTCATGGAAGCAGCAGGGAGATCAAATGATACACTGCACTGGGTAAATTCACTGCACAAAACCTCTTTAGTGAATTAAATGGAAACAAGACTGCTACATTGAGGACTAACAGGCACCTGATCCAATCCATGGTATTTTCAATGGCCTCATATGCATGTGAAAGTGAGACATTAAATAAGGAAGACCAAAAAACAATCGATGCATTTGAATTATGGTGCTGGTGAAGAACATTGAAAATGCCATGAACTGCCAAAAGAATAAACAAATCTGCCTTAGAAGCAATACAGCCAGAATGGTCCTTAGGAGCAAGGATGGCAAGACGCAGTCTCACGTGTTTTGGACATATCATCAAGAAAGACATCATGTAGGGAGCACCACAGAGGATGGAAGTAGATCGTCCAGTGAGGGAGGGGAGCTGACCTACCACACCACACCCAGAGGGAAGCTGGGACAAAGGAAGGAGGAGGAAAGGAGTGGAGCACAACTGGGCCCACCAAAC